AGTTAAAACTCCAATGCTTTCATTATTTTTCTTGTTCTCTTTTGCTTCTGAAAATTACTTGTTAGTACACTCGTCCTCCGAGTTATGTCTCATATGCAATCTTGTCGAGATTGCACAGAGATTGTCCAGGTTATTAATGAAGAAATTAAACAATACTGCCCTCAGTACTGACCCCATGACTACACCACTGGCCTCCACTGGTCACAGCCCAGCCCTTGGAACCCAGCAGTTAAACCATTTTTCAGGTCACCTCGCTGCTCTTTCAGACTGTACATCATCAATCAAGAATATGTGATGGGAGACTAAAGGCAAGATTAAAAATAATAATTGTCCTCATCCACCAAGCATGGCACCTTGTTGTAGAAGACAGCTTAGGCAGGCATGATTTCCTGTTCAGAAATCCATTCTGACAACTTCCAACATCATTAGACTTATAATTTTATTACATGAATATTTGTAGCTTTTAATACACTGAGTCTTTGGATGTGAAGTATCTTCTAACTTAAGACACACCCATTTACAATGGCTTTTGTGAATATATGTCTTTTGTCTACCAAAGGCCTAAGAGTGAGGCTGTTACACTTGGAAGAAATACATTTAAAACTATCTCAGCTGCCCTCAAGTCAGGGCTAAAAAACTATCAGTATTTTTGGGAGATAAACTATGTTAATGTATTTCATTTGTGCTTAATGCCTTCTGTGGATGTTTTTCTGCCACAATGACTCATATTTTTGCCTCTTAGTTTCATTTGTGCATCCACAGTCCTAAGGTTTATACAGAGGAGCAAAACTAAGGTGTTCCTCAAGATTATAAAATGCCATGCAAAGGATAAATGTTCTCCAAAAAGAAATATAAGCAAATTCATACACAAAGAGCTAAAGAAGACAGATTTTTTTTTCCCTCTTTTCAAGTCATTTGCAAGTAATCTGCTTTCACTTTACTCTGTTGGAACAGATTTTCTATGGAAATAGTTTTTTTTAAACATGTAGTGTTTCTTTAATTGATTAGCTTGTGTAAACTGCAACTATACTATTTAAAAATTGTTCAGGAAATAAAAGGTCATTCCTCAGCATAAGATGCCCTTACAGTTAAAACAGCTCAATCTAAATATACTTTACATGAGAATTAGAGGCAAAACATTATGAACATCAGACTGAGATGTCACATAGTTTCATTGAAATTTTCCCCAGCAGTACACAGATGTGTTACATGAAGGAAGTACCTGGAAAACTGAAAATGCAATTGAGACTAAAAACAACGACCAACCCCTAGAAAAACAGTTTCAACTTCAATAACTTTCCCACATCCATCTGAAGAAGGGCTCTCAAATCAAATTCAGTTCCTCAGGCTGGTATGAAATTGGGTGGATATAGGCCTCTCCTGACTTGATTCATGAACCATAATCAACCAAAGAAAAAGGCTTGGTTGAAATAGTAACAACTTACTTGAAATAGTAAGTCAGATGTTTCAGTGTAAAAAGCAGAGATCCTCCTTGATGAGCAACAAGTCTCATAAATAAAAACAGGAGTAGAGGCTGACATGAAAAAGTGAAGTTCAAAAGATAAAGTTGTTCAACTGAATGATCCCCAGACAGATTCCACTGAAGTATAGCAAATCAAGAACAAAATCATGAATCATGGAAGTTCTTATCAGCTGTCAGCAAAGAGTGAGCACAGCCAACTCAATTTCAGAGTGGTAGTCCCTCCAGAGACCACCAACAAACATAGGAGTGACTTGTCCTTCGGTAAAGCTTGTGATGAAGAAAACCTTATATCTTTTTCCTATCAATAAAAGTGACGCTATTGGAATGACATGGTGTTGAGAGCCAAAAGAACTTAAGGAGTCCTTTATGACTGTCCTAGTTCTCAAAACCAGGACAATGCCGTAATAGTGACTTTAGCTTTAGTGACATGTGAGTGATCCCAAAGGGTAAGGCTTGAAGAGCAGTTATCAGAAAAATTAACTGGGAAGCGTTTCAAGCTTTAGCTGAGTGGATTGTGACATGTAGCTACAGAAACAAGTATTGCATTTCATCCTGTGCAATAACAGAGGCAGATTCTTTGGGTACCTTTGTGATTTTTTTTTAATATTACAAAAACATGTGCAATGACATCTCCTAAACGGAATTTCTCTGATAAATATATACCTCAGTAGTGGTAGGACTGCATGATTCTTGAACTAGTTTTGACTGCATGGCAGCAGGGTATCTCACAGAGCAGAAAAGAGGGTAGATATAGCAAATCCGGCCTTGAAATTTTGGGAGAACATGTCTGAGTGGAATGTGGGGGAATATGCTCCTTCTACCCAACCCCAAAATCAACAAAACCCCCATCCTGCCAGGCTGCCATACTCTCATACAAGAGAGTATGAGCATCTTGCAAGGAAGGAAGAATTTAGAAATTACAGCCCAGTTAGTCTCACATCAGTTCCTAGCAAGATTATGTGGGAGAGGCCCCAAAAATTATTACAACATAGATATGAAAAAAGTCAGTTGGGACAAAATAAGCATGGGATTACTAAAGGCAAGGAGCACCAGCTTGTGGTCTTGCAAAAAGAGAAGCCTGTCCCAAGGCACAAGAAGAGTGTATGTTCTTCCTCAACTTCATCAAGGTTTTTGATGTGATCTCCTATGCTGCATCCTTATAACTCCATCAGAGAGAGAAGCTCAACAAAGACATTGTCTCAGAAAAAGAATTTGAGGTTGTCACAAAGGCACCTAAGGCCCAAACATAAACCTAAATACATGCAGTGATTTGGCCGAAATTAGAAAAAACCAATTCTATTTTGATGATTATATACACTCAGAGAAACATTGATGAAAAAAGTATATTTTAGATTTGCTTTTGTCAAGATTGATCCAGGCTTGGAAATAAAACAGTGTAAGATAAAGCTCTCTAACTACTTACAAAGATATTCTGTCTCTTGAGTAAAAATTTGGAGGAAAAAATACGTGAAAGAAATCCTACTTTGAACCCCACCTACAATTTCTTAATTCATATAGAATCACATATTTTAAAACACAAGATAAACACAAAGTTTTCATAGTTTCTCTTGTTCAGTGAGAAGTTCATATATGTTCACTATTTCTTGTTTTCTTGACATTTTCCCCAAGACTTTTAACTCAATTATTAAATTCTGTGCTCTCTAAGGATATCTCAGGAAAACACATACTACTTTCAGAGAATACATTTTTAACTTTATTAATTGTGAAAAAAAACCCCAAAGTAACCCCCTCTACTTTAAGGGACAATGGGTTTCTTCTTTTATGTGATGGAAACAATTTAACAAAGAGAAAACTGGATTTTTTTTGGCTCTTAAGAACTCTATGTGCAAATTAAAAAGACTACTAAACCCAGGAGTACATTCTCAAGAAAACACCACGAGCTACTTTTATTGTTATGTGACAAGCTAATAAGACTGCACCTTGATTGCTTCCATTCTGAAGTGCAGTGGTATGGATGGAGTAGCATGATAATAAAAACATTTAATTCAAAAGAACTAAAATACTGAAATAATTCAGGATGTTGCATTATGTGTTATTTGATTTCATACATCTCATTAAAGACACACTATAAAGAATAAAGTTTGCATCATAACAATGCAAATTATATAAACATGAGAAATACAACATGGTCTGGATGAAACTTACTGGTTTCAGGCTAGCAATTTGATCAAAAGCATACAGCTAGACCATTCATAGCCAAAATGTAATTCTCTGTAAGATTAATTACACAGACTACACATGCCCTGGTTTTGGGGATATGAAGATGTCAATTCAGGGTCAAATGAGCCCATATCTGCTCAGGGTCTGATACATAATTTTAAATTCTGACATGCAGAGAAGCCATTTGATGAAAAAATAGAAGTCAATTTGCGTAAACATAGAATTGGGGGTAGAAACCCATAGTTCTGCAGACACCACAGTATGCTCCCTGCAAGGTTACTTAGACACTATAAAAGTTTTCATTACCTAGGACAATACTGCTACTCTATCAAGCATTGGAAGATCTTAGCTTTACAGAACAAGAGGATGAAGAGACTACCTCAAGGATTTATTAACATAAGAGTGAACTAATTAAGAGAAATGGGAAACTGACATCTCATTTATGAAGGTACTCAAGACTTTTCTTATATACATAGATGACAGATTTCAAAAAAAAAAATTTTCCACAAAGGAATTTAGGGTCAACATACTTGTGATTCCTATCAAATGTTGCAGTATGCACACTGAAATTCTTTTCACGAGTGACTGAAAGCCAACATAACATTTTACTCAGATAATAGGTAATGACTCTCACAGTAAAAAGATGATTTTTCCAGCATTTCAATATTTATTTTAAATTCATTGACAATGTTAATATAAACAGCATAACTGAATAAAAACAAAAGAGTTAAAATTACCTACACTGAATTTCATAGGACAAAATTTCTTGCTTTTCTTTTTTTCTCTAATAACCTGATGCTATATCACAGTTTCATTTAAACAACATTTAAAGGGTTTGCTTTGAAAAATTAAATCCTAGAGACTTCACACAGTATAGCAGGATTTCCTCTGCCTAATGAGCAAAATAAACCCAAACAAAAATTAAAATTAAAAAAAATAATGAAAAAGAAAAAGAAATCATGATAGCTGGTGATAAAAAGAACAAAACCATTCCTTATTTCACTGCATTTTGAACTTATCACCACTCTTGCTTTTCTGGACTTTACATCAAATGAGAGTCAAATGTTCCATTCCCTGTGCTGAGGTCATTTGAAGTATAAAATACAATGCTTTGAATCTCCTTTCTTTAGGATAAAACATTTCTTTTAAGAAGTAAGCAAGGTTTCAGAGAAAAAAAAATTGACATGAAGGAAGCTTTCACTGTTAAGATATTCTCAAAGCAAACCTCTGCTGATTGCTAATCTAGGAGGTGTAAGAATTAAACTTTGTAGTTTGAGACTGAAGAGGTCAATTTATATTAGCTGCAAATTAAGAAATAAAGATGAAAAATACCTACCTTTCGGGAATGGATTTCTTTCACATATAATGGAAGCAGAAATTCAGATATTCCTTCAAGTCGTATTCCTTTTTTAGTGACTCTCAAATTTCCCATTCCATCCTACAATCAATAATATATATATATATTCACTTTAGGAAATAAACTTATCCAGAACAACCTAAAAATAAGACAGTAGTTGGCTTAACCCCTAAAAATAATGAGTGCTTTCCCACTGTCCCCAGCTCTTCTCATGATCTTAGGCAGGAGGTAGATGGGCACATTTAGCTTCACCTAGGGCTGAAGTATTTACCTGTGCAACCTGATGGTGACCTGCATACTTGATTTCTTGGATGAACCTAATGCCAGGGTACAACTGTGGATCACCACTATTCCCTGTATAGGGTGAATATATTGCAATTGCTGAATGTAATTTTACAACTGCTCAATAAAAAAAGTATTTAATTTTCTCTCTATATATGTAACTTTTTTTTTTTTAACATTTAAAGCAATTTATAGTTGAATCCAGTGTTTTTGCTTTTCCCAGTGATTAAAATACATAGGAAAATATCACGTAGGAAGAAAGAAAATAATTTTTAGGGGTTGCTCATCACTACTAAGAGCATGTTGCTGATGAACAACTTCAAAATGCTAATTTTGATTGTTTGTATTTATTTATCACAACAGAAATAGGAACGGCACCATTGTAAAAGTCTGGATGAAAAAGTATACCACACAACTCAATGTTCAATAAAATATTAGCATAGAAAACTGGCATAATAAGGCTTCAGCTGCACTCTTACATGAAAAAACCAATGAAACATGCTTTATACTCAAGAGACAAAATTATTTTGCACAGCAATAGAAAGTTAAGATTTTTTATCTCAAGAATCTTGTTACTATATTCCTGATAGAAGAGTAATTCTCCACCGTACAGCCAATGGAATTTAACTTGATCCACTTAAGTGCAAAATAAGCACATTTAATCTAATTGTTAATTATATATTTCAAAGCCATTGTTGACTCTAGTGTACTGGAACAATGAGACCTTGCACTTTTGCTCTGTTGGCTGAAGTATGAGGCAAGCAACCTCTGCCTACTGGGTAAACAGCTGGGTAAGTCCTCGACTGCTGTAGCTGAATTGTCAAATAATGCTTCTTAAGAAAGTGATGATCTATGTTAATGTATTTATCTTAAGTCAAGTAGTGTTTATACAAATACTTTCACATGGAAAACTACAGGTATTTGTGGGCTTTCTAACAAAAAGTGCAAAATGAAACAGCCATACCTGTCTTTGAAAAGGAAATAAAAAATGCATTATGGAATGTACAATCTGCCTTAACAAAAACTGAATCTGAATTTGATAAATCCTATAGTAATAGAATATAAAATTTTAATAGTAAAGGATAACCTGGGAAATACAATAAGCATGCTGTAGTTTTTGTCAGTGAATAAATATTCAACAAGAATTAGGTATTTTTTTATTTATTGATTTGGATATAAACATATTTTCTAACTGAAGAGGCAAATTCAATATTTCATTTTACCTGCTTCTGTGGAATGTTTCTAACTGACACACATGAAACATATTTACAAGAAAAATAGGGAAGGAGGGAAAAGGAGGATGTAAAAAATAAACACAAAATACACAAAAATGTAAAGTCAAGCTTTCAGAAAACTAGAAATGCTGAAATTAAATTTGCCAAAGAAGCTTCCACCTGCTCTTATCTTGCAAGTATGTTCAGGATAAAATTATATTTTTATATGTGATATTTACCCTCCTGAATCTCAGCTTATTCCACACAGGGCTGACACAAACCTCAGTCGGCAGCTACTCATTATTTTGCTTTCAAATCATTATTGTCTTTGCTCCTCATTTATTGTATTCTGTTAAAACTGTACTGTGAAGACAGTACTGTCAGTATTCTTCTAGACTTCTGTTCACATAAGTGTTTATTACTGAAGTAATATAGTTCCTCACAACTATTAATTAATTTTCAAAATACTTTCAGTAACTATATGGTGGTACTGTTCTTATGTTACTGCCAGACTTAAAGCGCAAAATCAATTTGTTCACTATTTTTTGATACTTATCATATTTTCTCTGTTTATTTTCAGCAGCGGGAACTGAAATTGTATAGCAAGATTAAACTGTCAGGGTCTCAGAAACAAAGTATTATATGTCCATAAGGGCTTTCATTTTTCTGAGTAACCTTTCTAGGTACTCATTCTTTAGTCCTTCAGCAGAAACCAACAGATTGAATGCAGACAGGCTCTGCACAGACAGAAGCACTCTAGCTTCAGTGAAATTACATGATTCAACACAAAAAAACACTACATTCTAGAGCCTAAGTCACAAAAGGTGTTTTTAAACTGGAATACAGTGACTGCAACCTGAATTCCTTGATAAACACAATAATCTTCCAGACAATTCCTGAAATGCATAATGACTGACATGAAATAAGTCTGAATAGTAAAATACAGAAAATAGTCAGACACGTACTACTACAATATGCTTAATGAAGATGACCCCACTAAAATAATTACTTCTCAGTATGCTTTTTCATCAATAACCCCTCCATCAAGTGTAAACAGGGGCTGGAATAAGACAAGTTTCTTGTTTCATTGGGTAACAAACTATGCTTTTAAAGAGAAAAATTCAAGGGTTTTCTGAACTAACACAACTTGGTTAAAAAGTTATTAATATTAAAAAGATTAATCAGAGGAAGGTCCTTCTGCTCATTTCTCAGATAAACTCCATAAAGAGTAGGTTTTCCAGGCAAATAAAACTCAGATTATTCTTTTGTTGTGATTTGATTTTATTCAAGTGCAAAAACTATGCCAGTACTTAAAACAAGTGTCAGGTTTGGTACTAGGACTGCCTGAGATGGAAGTTTTCTTTCATCACATCAGCTGATATAATAGTGTGCAGTTTTGGCTAAAACAGTGCTCATAGCACACCAATGCTTTGGCTGTTGCTGAACTGTGCTTCCAGAGTGTCAAGCCTTTCTCATTTTTCCCCCCTCTCTGCCCCCAATAAGTAGAGTGGGGATTGCCAAGGAGTCGAGAGGGAACACAGCTAAGCCAACTGACCCCAAGTGGCCAAAAGCATATTCCATACCTGTACCATCATGGTCAGTGAGAAAAAGTGGTGGTAGAAGAAGAAGGGGGCGGGAGAGAACAAGGATTGTCTTTCAAAGAGGCCACTGCTTGAAGACAGAGTGGGCATCAGTCTGTGCTATGTTGTGAGTGATTGTCTTTGCATCACTTTATGTCCTCTTTATTATTATTCAATATTATTATTCTGTATGTTATACCATGTACAACTTTGCATGTTTGTCATTTAAGAATATAAAACAAATTGACAGTGACCCTGCCTCACTTACATTGTTCTTTTCCCTCAGACACAAAGAAAAACAACCCCTTTACATCCATAAACGTCTTAGAGAGATAGTAAAAAAAAAATAAAAATCAAACATCACTATCAATATTTTATGTTATTCTTAGAGTACATCACATTTCAGTTATTAAAACCAGAAATTCAAATAAGAAGCTATTAAAATATGAAAACCAAACATTTAGTTCATGCTGTTGTTTGTCTTAAAACTGCAGAAACCTAAGGAAGAGTTTTACTGACTTTGAACACCACATTAAAGTCAATGAAGTCCTAAATTATGCTCACTATAAATCTGTGATAATGAGAGTATAAATCTGAATCAGAATGTAAAAGAACTCCCCAGAAAAATATTCTGGGAGGCAAACAACAATACTGACATTCAGAGCATTTTTAGGCTTTGACCTGCTTATAAACAGGCAGAGATTTATGTTCTTCGATGATCCTGTAAATGGTATATAAGAAAACCAGAGATTAATTCACACTGTCTTTAAAAAGGCAGGATGATCTTTTAAAAGATTAAGTTAATTCTTCACAATGTGCTGAGAATTCTACAAGGGTCTATTTCTTATACAGCCTGCATAATTTCTGCCCAATAAACTATTACAGCAGCATGTTTCATGATAACTACAAATATAAAGTATATGCTATGAATACTTCTCAAGAACTATGAATACTTCTCAACAAGTCAGGAAATTGGCTAAGACTACAATCTGCAGTAGTCTGTCTACAATCTAAACTACTATAACTAGTTCTGGACTACACATATTGCTATCTAATGAAATATGTCGTGGTGTGCTTTCTTTTTTTTATTTTTCTCTCTCTTGTTTTTCCTTCTTTGTTTCTTTTTTACTTTTATTTGTTTAAGCACTAAGACATTCTAAGAAAAAAGAGGAGGATAAGGAATTCTACACAAATTGCTGATAAACCAGAAGTGTGAAAGAACAAGCTTAGCTTTCTACATAATAGAGCCAGTCCTCTGTGACATAGATGACAACAACTGAAGTCTTAGGAGAGGATTCACTAGGCTGGCTTAGAAGATCTTTAAGCTACTAAAAAGGGTAGTTTTGAAGCCAAGCTGTGGAATATTTCAATTAGAAATAACATTTTGGAAGTCATTAACTATCTCTTATAAACTCACTCCATTCAGATGAAATAACACCTCCTTGAATGAGATCAAACCCAGTCCTTTAATGTTAGAAAATTCTGCAAATCTATCAATTAACATTGTTATATGGAAGACATTAAAGTGGACAAAATATCTGCAATTTCCGTGTAAGAATTCACAATTCCTTGGTCTGGAGAAAAGAAGTTGGAAGGCATGATGTTCCAAGTCAGGAAGGAAAACTCTCATTACGTGGGGTGAGAACAGCACTCAGATATATCCTCCAGTAATTTCAAAAACTGTCATGCGTCTCATGAAGTGGGCAGTGAGAAGGCAGTAAAGAACTCTGCTAACTAAAATGGCTAACTAAGGCTTTTTCCTTAGGATCATGAACTTATATGCACTTACATGAACTTAAATGTGACATTCTGCATGCTTTCTGAGTATATAGTTAAGCCCAAACTCTGTCTCCAAAAGTTCACATTCTGAAGAAGGAATCAGTACACAAAACAGGGAGGGGGAAAATTATTATAATAGAAAAGTAGGGCTTAAACAAAGTGCCTACATCAGATATCCTATAAATTAATAAGCATTCAATGTCTGTTGCCTTGTAGGCATCATAGC